GCCCGGGCATTCCCGACCCTCTCTTTCCATCCCGAGCATCGCAGCAAATGTGTAAAGAGGATCAAAAAAAAAAAAAAAAAAAAAAATACAAACTTGCTCAAGACCTGCTGCTTTTTCCACGATGAGGGAGCTAAAGCAGAAACAGCAATTATCTGGTTCAGTCTGGTGCTGCTGGCCTGGAACATGCCATGACAACGTGTTTCTCGTTTCAAAGCCTCTTTTGTACTAGGACACAGTTCAAGGGATCTTGCAATGCCTGCATTTGTAAACACGCGGCACTTGCAGCTACACGCTTTGCAGATGAAAGCCCGGGCAGAGCAGAAGGGCCCTCCTCGCCGCCGCGGCCGTGTCACGGCCCAGGGGGGGGGAGCGCTCCCCCTCGGCTCGGTGTCTGCAGGCGGACGTGCTGATTCAGGGACTCGGGAGCCCTGGGGCAGCTGCTTAACCACGCGTGGTCCTCAAAAGTCACGGCACGTTCAGAAAAATGGAGTCCTGGAAAAGAAAAAAAAAAAAAAAAAAAGAAAAAAAAAAAAATCACAGCGAAAAATGTGCGTCACTGCAGATTATTTTAGGCCCCGGTCCATGCATAATGCAAATAAGCAGCTCCCGGGGTACATGCCTGTAAAAACCATCCAGTCCCATAGCACTCGGTTCTAGGAGCTTTCCAAACAGGTGGTGAAAAGCTAAAATTATGTGTCTCTGTGTCCTCACCGGGGTTAGGAAGGGCCCTCGCTTTCAGGAAGGCTCTTATCCTACCTCCACACGGCTGGTATAAAATGGGACCGAGACATTAGAAAATTCAAGAGCATTTCTTTCCTTTTGAGGCAATCCTGCGCTCGCACTAACCAAACCACACTCAGCATCTCCACGCTCTCCTTTGATCTGCTCCGAACCGGGCTGCCTCCCCACACTCGCTTTTCACCCACTCCGGCTTTATTTTTTTGCCTTTTCTAAAAAATCATTGTATCCTCCTTGCCTTACTTCAAGGAGTCACTCGGGAAGCCCTATTTATGGGTTGAAATGCTGCTGAAAGAGTTATTGCCATGTTATTCAGCTGTTGTGCCAAGCCTGCATGGGGATCGGGTTTCTGCTGAAAGGGTGCCAGGCACGTCTTTTTCCAGGAACCAGCAGCCGTATTTAGCCTCCGGCTGCACATGAAAGACTGCAGTCGGAAACGTGACATTGTGTCAACATTTGAGGCAGGTCAGAGCTGGGTGAGACCATGAAAACAAGTCCGGGGAACTCGGCACAGCCCGCCGGCACGGCGCGGCACGGGCTGCCGCGACCTGGCGCGGTGCCGGGGGTCGGCCCCGCCATCACCGTCCTCCCGCGGCCGCCCGCCGCGTCCCCTGCTCCTCTTTGCACCGGGGTGGAGCGCGCTGGCTCTGCCCGGCGCTGGCTCTGCCCGGCGCTGGCTCTGCCCGGCGCTGGCTCTGCCCGGCGAGCGATGCCATGATGGGATGGGAGTGGGACAGCAGTGGGATGGCGGTGGGATGGTGGGTGATGCCATGGTGGGATGGTGGGTAGGGTGGCGGTGGGATGGTGGGTGATGCCATGGTGGGATGGTGGTGGGGTGGTGGGTGATGCCATGGTGGGATGGCAGTAGAATGGTGGTGGGATGGCGGTGGGATGGCGGTGGGATGGTGAGTGATGCCATGGCAGGACGGTGGTGGGATGATGAGTGATGCCATGGTGGGATGGCAGTGGGATGGTGGTGGGATGGTGGGTGATGCCATGGTGGAATGATGGTGGGATGGTGGGTGATGCCATGGTGGGATGGTGGTGGGATGGTGGGATGGTGGGTGATGCCATGGTGGGATGGTGGTGGGATGGTGGGATGGTGGGTGATGCCGTGGTGGGATGGTGGTGGGATGGTGGTGGGATGATGGTGGGATGGTGGGTGATGCCGTGGTGGGATGGTGGGTGATGCCATGGTGGGATGGTGGTGGGATGGTGGGTGATGCCATGGTGGGATGGTGGTGGGATGGTGGTGGGATGGCAGTGGGATGGCGGTGGGATGGCGGTGGGATGTTGATGGGATGGCAGACGATGCCATGGTGGCACGGCGGTGGGATGGCGATGGGACAGTGAGGGGACGGCAGTGGGACACCCCCGGTGCAGGCAGAGGCAGAGCAGGGCATAGCTGGAGGTGCGGGCAGGCCCGGCGTGGGCAGGCCATCCCCCACGCAGCGCTGCCGTGGGCACAGCCCCACGCTGCCAGCCGGGGAGCACCGGGGGCCACCGGCCCCTGCTCGGCCCCACAGAGCTCACCCGCCCCAGCGGCACCGGGCCAGGGCGGCAGAGAAAATCCCCAGCCCGTAACTAACCTTCATTTCCTGGATAAACCTCTCTTCCACCTTTATTTAGTCATTTATATATTTATTTATGTTATTTTCCCTCCGTGACTGAGGATCTGGAGCTTCTCTGAGTCCCCCCCACCACAGGACAAGGTGGGTCAGAAGACGGAGCCCGAAGGGGGGCGAGACCCCTGGAGAGGGGCCGGCCCTTAACGAGGCTTCGAACGCGGCTGCGCTGAGCACCAAAGGCTGTCCCCGAAACGGGGTTACTTCAGTCGTCTCCAGTGCGATCAATATTTAGCCCTAATTAAAACAAACACAACATAACCATCAGGAGGTATGGAGGCTCCAAATAAATTAATACGAGCGGCGCTGTGGGGTTTTTTTTAGCGTTGCTTCGGCCAACGTTGCTTTAAGCTAGAACTCACGGTGGTCCAACAGCAGCCCCCGGGCACCTGCTCCTCCTTCCAGCCGGGTCCCGGAGGTGCTGCGGGGACCTCCACCACGTTTCGTGATTCACCCACGTTGGTGAAAATCCGAGATATGTTTAGGTGCGTGTTCCCCCTCAGCCCGGGGGGGAGGAGGTGCCGGCTCGGAGCCCCAAACTGGGGAGAAACGGGAGAAGCGCGGCGGGGTGCCGCGGCTCCGGTCCCGGAGCGGGGTCGTGTCCTGCCCGGGTGCTGGGTGACCGTCCCAACCCAAGGGGACCCCGGTGGGGGCAAGCGGGGCGCCCCCCCCTCGCCAGCCGGGACAGCCACGGTGCGGGCGGAGGGCGGCATTGCTGCGGGGTCGGGGGGGGATGCTGGCAAAGCAAAACGGCTGTAAAAAGCCCATTTTCCCCGCCGGTTAAGGGGCGAAGGCTGCAGAGAAAGGGGCACCCACCGCGGGCCGGGGTGCCAAGGGGCCAGGACCAGGGGGCACGAAGGGAAACGAGGAGAAAGCAGAAAAACCAGGCAGGCTGCCCTGGCACCTCTCTCGGATCAGGGAGGAGAAGAATCCCCACCGAAAAGGTGCCAAGGGAGGTAAAATAAATAAATATCCCCGGGGGAACACGGTGGGAGCCTGAGCTGCCCCGGGGAGGGGAGCCCCGCTCCGCCCCTCGCGCCGTCGACGGCTGGATCGGGCCCTACGGAACAACCCTGCTCCAGTATTTAAAAGCACAGGAGGCAAACCCTTATCTTCCACAGGAAAAGAATTATTTTATTAAGTATTTTTAAACAACTACTTAACATTTACTCGAGATAAAAATATGTACAATATCCCACCTTGAAGAAGGCTCCAAAATATAAACACTGTACCTCTCCCTAGAGAAAAACAAAAAAAAAAATTCTTCTCGTCAAAAAAAAAAAAAAAAAAGACAACCCAGAAACAAGAATACATTCATATTTCTCACTTCTTTATGCTCAAGTAGTTATACAAATAATAGACATCTGAAACGTTTTACCTTTTAATATATTTATATAATATATATATATTTATAACAGGATTTTACAAATAAAGGCAACAACTGTATACAAAAAAAAAAAAAAAAAGAAAAAAACAAAAACCAACAACAAAATAAACGTTAGAACACAATCTGCAATCAAGCATAGTGCATCTCAACAGCTGGTGCAATGGGAGGGCGAAATGAAAATCCATACACGAGTTCTCAAAACCAGTAAGGAAAAAAAAAAACAAAAACAAACAAAAAAAAAACAAAACAAAAAAAAAAACAAAACAAAAAAAACCCAAAAAAACAGCACTGCATTTTGCAGTGAAGGTTGGTTTGTTTTTTTAAGGTGAAATTAAAAAAAAAAAAAAAAAAAAAAAAAAGCCAAATTGGACGTGATGTTCCTCTGCAGAGAAAGACCCTCGCGGTTTCATGGGACAAGTGTCAGCACCCTAACCCTCGTTCTTTAATACAGCAATGCGGGCCAGGCTTTGCCAAGGAGACTAAGGAATTTAGATGCTCAAACCCCCCCCCCCCCGGGATTCGACTCCTCTGAAAATCCCAGCCTTTTCATTTTTCCCAAGGCACTGACAGGGCCACGTTCAGCCGGAGTCGTGCTGCCCATTGCGGCTGAATTGCCCCCCCCTGCACGAAGCTCTCGCCTCGCCCCGGCCGGGGAGCGCCTGCCCGCCGCCCGGGCCCCCGCTGACGGGACGACTCGAACCCTCCGGATTTCCACTCGACCGGACCCGGCAAAACTGCGGCAGCAGCAGCAGCAGAGAGGGGCCTGGAGGCAGGTGCAACAAGCAAAGTGATCCTTGGGATATTTTCTCCCCTACCCGGCCCAAACTAGCAGCTCAAGTTACAGGAAGGGGCACGTGTTAATTTATTTATTAGATGTACGCCATGTAAAGCTTCCAAGCAGCATCTACCTTTTATTTCTTAAAAAAAAATAATATATATATATACGTATTTATATATATATATATATATATATATATATATATCAGCAAAGGTGTGGAGAGAAACCCGTCTTAAGTCTACCTGCCTGCACGACCAAGCAGTGCCCGCTGCTCTGCTCCGTCTCCGCTCTCGGTGGCGTCACTCGGACGCCGGCCACCGAATCACTTTGGCCCAAACTACCGGCAGCGGGGCCGTCGCCTTAAAAGCCTTTCTGAGAAGTACCGTATTTTTTCGTATCCACAGACCCTAAAACCAAGTCTGCCTAATGGAATATTTTTATATTTTTTTCACAGCTTTGCAATATAGTCACAGCTGACCGAGGCCACTGCTGTTCTGTAGATGCGGAGAGGGAAGAAGGTAAGGGGTAAAGCACAAAACCCTTCTTTTTCTTTTTTTTTATTTTTAATTTTTTTTTTTTTTCTTTTGGAAGTAGTTCTGAATCGCTAACCTGGGCGCATCCTTCATCCTTCTCCTAGCTACCTGACAAGTCAGAGAAAAGGGGATTCAGCTTCCTACACGCAGTGAACCTTATCCCCACACCTCAGTCCAGCCAATATATAAAAAGTGAAACAGTCTCAAACTTAAAAAAAAAAAAAAAAAAAAAAAAAAAAAAAAAGTCACACTGCACTTAGTCTTTGGTTTCCAAGTTCAAAGGAGGAATCTGCTTCAAAGCTTGAAGCAGAGCTGAGGAGTCGATAGGGGAATGGGCTGGTACGGGAGAAGGGAGTCTCTGGGGCATCAGCAGAGGCGGGGAGATTTTATCGGGGTTCATGAAACCCGTAAGTGCTGCGGCAGAGGCTGGGAGGCTGGGGTACAGGACAGGTACGGACGCCGGGTACCAGCACTTCTCCAGCATGGGCAGATAGGCGGTTGCGGACGGTGGGATCAAATAGAAAGGCAGGCACAGGGGAGGCTGGTGAGCGTGGGGGCCCAGGAAGCTGCTGGAAGAGCCCATCATGTCGCTGCCAAAAGGGCCCTCGTCCTCGGGTGACTCCAGCCTGCTCCTCTTGGCCGGCGGGTCCTCAGTCTCTTGCTTAATAGAGCTTATTCTCTCCTGGACAGCGTACTTGAGTTCGGTATCCTTTTTGAAATACTGCTGTTCGGATTTGGAGTCACTTTTCTCCAGCTCTCCCCCGTACCCGCTGTCCGTGTCTGTGTCGCTGCCGCTCTGCTCCCCGCTGGAGTGAGCGAATGTCCTCTGGATCACAGGCACGCAGTTCTTCCCGTGCCCCTCCACCGCCTTGCCCAAGGGGACGGGTTTCTCTTTCAAGTCCCCCATTTTAGGAGGGATGTCTCCGGCCTTACGGCCGCCTGCGCCCTGGAGCACCTCGGAGGCCATGCGGTGCAGGTGGCCGACCAGCTGCGACGACTTCAGGTCCTTGCCGTTCTCGTGCTTCGCCAGGTATTGCAGCATTTCCTTGGCACACATCTGGAAACCGGATCGAAACATTTCCTGGCCGGAATCAAGGTTTCTTGACGACAGGTCGCCTGAGGAAACATTAACAGAAAGAAATTAAAAATTAACAACGTGCGAAAAAGAGTTCCACTGGCACCTTCGAGGCGGGCTGGAGGCGATGCTCAACTTCAGCCACAGCACAGCCAGAGAGGTCAAGCTGAACCCTGCCTGCGCTCCCCCGCTGTCTGCAGCAGCACACACCTTTATCCGACCACCCAGCTGTCCGCTTCCACCCTATAACTTAATTTTCAGCTCTGTGTTTGCTGCATCTGCCACCCTCAACGGGTGCTGAAGTACGGAGCTGAAGGAGCGAGCCAAGCCGGTGCCTTCTCCGGGAAACACCCCGGGGAAGGCGGGGAGCACCTCGCCCTTCACCCCCCGGCAGGGAGCTCCTGCAGCACCGCCAGCAGATCCGCCAACCTTGGGCACTTTTGCTCCAGCTTTGAGCTCTATTGCACTCCCTGTGGCTGTCGGAGCAGCGGAAGGCTCTTCAGAAAAACTAAATTTTACTTTATCAGATTCACGTGAGTGCCACATGCGAAAACAGAAGGAGGAAGTGCATCTAAAGCACGATAAGCTGATACACCGGGTCCCCTCTTTGCCTGCAGAACACAGGCTCGCTCGTTTATAGGGAGAGCTAAAAAAGGTGCGCATAAAAAGCAGATTTATATGGATTTTCAGAAAAAAAAAATATATATATATACAACAAGCAAACAAAACCGGGTTTGATCCAAAGCTCGTGAACGGAAAGGTGTGCATGGCTTTGGAGAGAACCTCGCAGCAAACCGGAGCTTTAAGTAAAACTACTTCAAGTCCAATTTAATTGCAAAACAACTCCGCAGGGCACTCTACACTGACCATATTGAGAAACGCATCTTTTCCTGCAAGAGCTCGTGGGCAAAGCCAGGGCAAATGACGGCGATTAAAGGCAAGAACTCCTGCCTCCTCCCTTCTCAGGAGCCAAGTGTCACAACGGCATTTCAAAGGCTCCCAGAGAAAGTCCCACCGAGCGCACGCAGGCTCTCACCCGGTACGATTTGACTACTCACCCGCTTGCAAACCATTCTGCAAAGCGATTATTTTCTGCTGCTGCTGCTCAATGAGATTGGTGAGCGCTTTCACGTGCTTCAAGGTGAGCTCGAGAACCACAGCCTTCTCCAAGTGACCGAGAGTCTGCGAGCAAAGGGACAGGTTGGCGCCTGCTCCCGGGGTCGGCCGCGCACGCAGGAGCGGGACGGGGCTGCCAACGTTTTCCAAGTGACAGAGCAAGGGCCGACGCGGTTTGGGGAAAAGGCTTAAGGGCTCTGCCTTGATCCCGGACGGTGCAGGACTAAAAAGGCCGATATGCCATGAAAATAAGTTAAAAAGCGGGCTGCAGAAAAGGCTCTCCCGGAATCCTCGGGGTGTTTTCGGACTAGCCGCATAGCTCAGAGAGGAGTATTTTATTTTATCGGTTCTGCTGGCACCGTGAGCTCAGCACAGGGGATGCCGGCTGGAGGGGGGGGGCTGAGCCCCGCGGGGACGCGGCAACCCCCCCCCCCCCCCCAATCCACCCACCCACCCCATTCCCGGGAAAGTTTGGGATGCGCTTCCAGCCCGCCTGGGGCGTGCGGCTGCCACGGGGGGGGGACGGGACACAGGGAGGAAGGGGGGGGGGAAAGGTGGGGGGCAACGCAATGTCAAAACAATCAAATCCCCGCTGAAACAGCGGGCGAAGAGGCGGCCGCGGGGGGAGGCGCGGAGGTGCCGCGGGGGTTCCGCGCAGCCCCGCTCGCACCCACCGTCAGCTTGAGGTGCTCGGGCAGCAGGTCCTTCAGCTGGGCGATGCACTCGTTGATCCGGTCGCGCCTCTTCTTCTCGATCAGCCGGTGAGGCAGCTTGTAGGTCTCCTGCAAGAAGAAAAAAAAAAAAGCCGGCGAGCGGGTCAGCGCTCCGCGGCGGCGGAGAGCAGCGCGGCACCCCCCCCCCCCCCCCCCCCCCCGACACACACCATTTACCTTATTATCCTCGCTTCTTTTTAACCCCCTCCTCGGCTTGTAAACTTGGTACATGTGCGCGAAGTCCAGCCTGCACGGGGCGAAACGAAAGCGCGGAAATTATCCCCCCAGGGGCCGCGGTGGGGCCGCTCCGCCTCTCCACCCCCCCAAACTCCCAACGCCTCCCACCCCCCCCCCCACACCCCCCCCCCCACCCACCCCAAACTCCCCGCCGAACCCCGGCGCTTACCCCGGCACCTCGGCGCTCTCCAGGGCGGGCAGCTTGCCCAGGCAGCCGGGCGGGGGTTGCGCGCTGGGGATCCGCTCCATGGGGCGGACGGAGGCGCGGGAGCGGGGCGCGGAGCGGGGCGCGGAGGGGAGCGCTCAGGGCGGGCAGCTCATGCCGCGGCGCCGCCGGCTGAGGAGCGGCGGGGCGGCGGCGGGGCCGGGTTAAATGCGGGCGAGTGGGTGGACGGGAGCGACGTGCGTTACCCTGTGACTGCCGGCACGTCTGGCGGCCGCCGGGGCGGCCCCCCCCAACACCCCACGCCCCCCCCCACCCCCCTTCCCCTCCCCTCCACCCCACCCGTGTCACATGAGCCTCACGTGGCGGCAGCCGCGCAACGTGCCGGGGGGGGGGGGGGGGGGAGGCGGGGCCGCCCCGAGGAGGAGGAGGGAGGGAGGAAGCCGGGGGGGGGGGCGGGGCAGCCTTCACACCCGTGTCGGAGGGGTCCGGTGTCCCCCCCGTGGGGGTGGGTTTGGGACACACACACACACACACACACACCCCTCCCCTCCCACCCCCGCGCAATCACCTCCGTGGGATTTCCGCTCCCCGCCGTGTCGGAGGGATCCGGGGGTCCCCCCGTGGGGGTGTTGGAGGGGACACACACACACACACACCGGCGGCAGCGCTTCACAACCCCCCACCCCACCCACCCCCCCGCCGTGGGAGCTGCGCTCCCCGCCGTGTCGGAGGGGTCCGGGGTCCCCCGTGGGGGTGTTGGGGGGGGGGGGGGGACACGCACACCGGTGACAGCGCTTCCCTCCTCCCCCCCCAACCCCTTCCGTGGGATCTGCGCTCCCCGCCGTGTCGGAGGGGTCCGGGATCCCCCGTGGGGGTGCGTGGGACACACACACGCCCACCCCCCAGCAGCAGCGCTTCCCACCCACCCGCCCCCACCCGGGATCTCCGCTCCTCGCCGTGTCAAGAGAGGTCCGGGGTCCCCCGTGGGTGTGTTAGAGGGGGGGACACACACCGGTGGCAGCGCTTCCCACACCCCCACCAACCCCCTCGGCGGGATCTCGGCTCCCCGCCGTGTCAGAGGGGTCTGGTGTCCCCCGTGGGGGTGGGTGTGTGCGTGGGGCGGGGGGGGGGGGATCGGCACGGTTTCAGCCTTTACATTGCGCCGTGGGCGCGGCAGGGCCGAAGCTGTGTCCTACCGAGCGCCTCACACCGCTGAAAGGGGAGGGGGGGGGGGGAGAACTCCCCAAGCCCCCACCCCCACCACCACCCTAAAAGAGTCACCGATGCAGACCCGAATTAAAATCGTCGCCCTCCAAACTTTGGAAACACGGGGAAAAAAAAAAAAAAAAAAAAACCACCCGCGGGGCGCTGAGCAGTGGCTCCAGGTAGCTGCCGGCAGCGCGGAGGAGTTGGGGCCGTTTCACGCTTTTGCAAAGCATCTGCGGTCCGTGGGTGCCAGCTCTTGCAAAAAAAAAAAAAAAAAAAAAAAAAAAAAAAAAAATGCCACGCAAGGGTTGCAAGGGCGCGTACCTGCCAAAGCAAAGCTCTTCTCGGGAAGGGCTACGGTCATTTTTCCCTGCCGAATGGTGAACGAGTAGAGGCAAGCTCATCAGATTAAAAAAAAAAAAAAAAAAAAAAAAAGAGGCACGTTCACCAAGATAAGGTAATAGCAGAACTCCAGCACGGAGCCTCTGCTATCGCCTGCGAGAGCCCTGGTCCGCTCCACGGCGGGAGGAATCTGAGGTCAGGCGGTATTACGTGAGAGCACAAAGCGATTTTATCCGGGCGATGGAGACAGGCATTTTAAGGCTCACCGCCAGCTGAAGGTGCGTGTCGCTACCCGGAGGAATCCCAAGGGAACTCGGGGCCTCGCAGAGAGCTGCGGCCTTTAAACCTAAGCTTTAGAAACTACCCCCATGGCCCCCCCCCCCCCCCAAAAAAAACCACTCTTTACGAGATCCCAGCTGCTTCTCCACGCGCAAACCGCACGGCGCTGTAGCGATGACGGGGAGCTCCCAAAAAGCTTGGCCCGCGCCACAGGGTCTGCATTTTTAAGGGCATTTTAAGTCCAGACCCCAAGTGTACGTGGACACTTTCATGCCCACGAATTGTCGGACTCCTGCATGCTCTTTCAGCTATTCGGTACATTCCTGCAGTGGGTGGTGAGCTACAACTCAGGGTCAGAGGTAATCCCCAATTATTTAGCCCTTTTACTGTTCTCGTGCTTGCCAAACAATTCTCCATATCAGGATTTACTCATGACCTTAAGGGACGTTGCCAAGGATTTAGGAGTCCCCCTAAAAAGAGGATCCAAATGAAGTTATTACATTCTTGGGCATCAAGTTAGATTGCTGGAGAGTTGAATTACATTTTCCTGGAGATCAGTTTTCATAAGTCAGGGCTGATGCAATCATCAATTTGCCTTCTCGATTTTGTTTGCCGTATTATTTCTACGTGGAGGGTCCCTTTACAACCTGCGATTAAGGCAGGAGCGAAATGTTTAACGAGGCTTCATTTTCTAAAGCCTTTCGTCGAGCAGCAGGTCTCCCCAGCGCTTGTTTCGGAAGGGCTGAGAGTCACAGGACAGCGGCAGCTCGTGCCCGAGGGGGATTTGCGGTTATTTACGGGCGAGGGTCCGGGAGTCGGCTGGAAGGTGTGCCGAAGGCGGGCTGGGGGGGGGGGGAAACCCCAGGACCTGCCCCTTCCCCAGGCCTGTCCCCTTCTGACCACAGCGATTTTTGGGGAAATATGTTGAAAATCCCAAGCGCCGACGTCTGATCGGAGCCTACGTGGGCAGCCCTGGGAGTTAACAGATGGGTTGCGGAGTCAAGCTTACGATAAGGTTACGGGGGGGGGGGGGGGGGTTTGTTTTAAAATGTCTCTTACTTAATATATCCATGAAGGCCAGGCATGTGCCTGTGGCCTGTAATCAAATCGCTGACTCTCCCTCTCTCTCATTTCCAGCAATCTCGTTTCAGGTTACTGGCACCGGAGGTGAAAGAACAGCCATGCCTTGGCCCAGCAGCCAAGGCTGGACGCCGAGGTTCCGACAGCCGTCCGACGGCCCTCCCGGCCTCAATAATTAAGACCCATCGCTTTTTGCAGAGGGAAAAGTTTCCGGGGGAGCCTCTATGAGAGCGAGGGAGCGGGGGATGCGCGTGCGCTGGGGAAACGTGGCGGCTTTTTTTTCCTTCCCCCCCCCCCCCCCCCCCCCCGGAGACGGGCAGCTCTCCAGCCACGGCACCGGCCTCCGCCGAGCACCCTCCTCCTCGCTGCAGCATCTCGGGCCCCGCAGCTCCCAGGAGACCCCCCGCGTCCCTTTTCCCCACCGCAGCGTCCGAGGCAGGCGCGGGAGAGCCCGAAAACCCACCGCCCCCCCCAAGCTGAAGGCAGGATCCCCGGAGGGACGCTGTGGAAATTCGCAGCGCGGGATCCGAGCGCAGCTTGCCACCCACCGTGTCCCCCTCCTGGGTAGCCTGCAGGTCGTTTGCAAAAGCTCAAAGGGAGCGGGAAGTTTCAGCGGCGTGCGGGCCTGCCTGGCTATTGGCACAGCACAGCCACGCTCGCCGCCGCGACGCGGGGAATCATCCGCATGTTGGCCTAAGTCAAGGCGTAATATTGCGAGTACGCGCACCCGTCGCTGCTTAATTACATTGGTTTAAGCTACCGTGGACTTGTTTGGGTAAAATATTGGGGAGATGTAGCGAGAGCTGTTGTGTCGGTGGAGCCGGGGGCCCGGCACTGCCCCGGGGTTGCTGCCGGGCATGACGCTGGCACCGCTCAGCGAAACTTCCCCGAGGACTATTCAGATAAAATCCATTCCCCTCTCCGAGCGGGGGATGCTTGCCAGCCCCCGGCGTGGCGGTGGGAGGAAGACGGAGGTGGAAGCTATTTGGAAGCGGCAAAATTTGTGGACTTCAGGATGAGAGACTTCGAGCCCACTTTGAGACGGCCGTTTTAAGAAAACGCGCCAGCTTCCCGGTGACATCCTGCCCGAAGGCGACCGACGTCCCTGCTGCTGCGGTCTGGGCGGCGGGGCAGGGGATGGGCCGGGGGGGGTGAAAGGGGGGGGGGGGGGGGGTTGCCACCCCGTTTGGAGCCGGCCGTGGGTAGGAGAGCTGGGCCAGCAGCCCAGCCCGCTCAGGGGCAGGAGCTGCTTCTCCTCCCGAGTGACAGAGCTGTCTGGTGGAGGCTTTGCACAATGGGATCTGATCACATTCCTCCTCCTGCCCAACATCAAACAGTGAGTCAGCGATGAAGCCTCATCAGATGTCTCTGCTTCGGCTTTCATATCTGAAAAGCAGAAAGGATGGTGCTCTGCCAGTATGCAAAGCAAAGCAAGTAGGGTGCCTTTAGATCTACGGCTTAGAAAATACCACAGAGTTACTTATTTTTCGCTGGCATCCCCGTAGGAATCAATACCACCGGGGCTCGTAGTCTGGGGAGATTTTATTCTTTCTGGGGGATGTAGGTAACGGCTACAGAGCCAAACGACATCACACCTGAGTCAAATATTAACATAAAAAGTTCTCTCAACTGGATTAAAAAAATTACACACACACACACACACACACCCCTCCTAAAAATAATAATAAAATAAAGCCGCAACAGGCAGAAGAAGAGACCAGGGGGGATGTTCCTCCTGCAGTTCACGTCAGGACACAGATGAGTTAAACCTTGACCTCTGAACCTCGAGCCCGTTGGACAAGGTCTGTGTGATCTGCAGGCTCACGCCAGGCGCCGGCTGATCAGTTTTTTTGGGGGGGGGGGGACACGACTTGGTTCAAGCTGTCAATACCACTCGCGGCGGCGGTAGGGCTGGTGGCGGAGGTGAAGAGCACAGCAGCTCGGCTGGGGCTCAGGAGGGGCCGTGGGGGAGCCCAGCTGGGAGAGAAAAAAGGGATTATTGGCACCCCGATTCACTAGGAATTACCAAACTTTTGACCCCCTCGAATAAATGGGACGCAAAGCAAACGCAGGCGGTAGGGGAAATGCAGGTGCACGGGCTTCTTAGTAACAGGCTAGACAAACCATACACATGAGATTGTTTCCTAGTCATGCAGACTTAAAAAACACTTGGACATGAATATCATTAAGCTCTGGGGTAGTCTGGAGCAGCCGTGGGAGAATGTAACCAGTCATTTTCTAAATAAGAAGCCAAACCTCTGAATCCAGATCCACCTCCTCCCAAACTCCCGGTCTGATCCCACGTGCATCACGAGCCAGATGTGGCTTGGGCATTACTCCTGCTGCAAATTCAGCTGAAATAAGCACAATCGGGAATGAAACGGAATGGGAAATATTCCCAGCGGATTTGCGCCTAACCGAGGCGACACACAGTTTTGCCGACTGCGTTCCTCCGGCGCGGAACAGGACCCCGATGCCACGCTGCAGTCGGGCTCCTCACCTAAACAGCACCTGGAGGGGAACGTGCTCATGTTTACGTGGAAAATACAGCCCACCGGGACAGAGCAAAGGGCAAAGTGCACCCCAGGCATCCCTACGAGAAGTACGAGTTGAGAGGAATGTCTCTCACAGTGCCCTTCCCTCTGTATCAGAAGCGATCTGGCTGAGAAGTCCTGGAGCAAACCACAACTGAGGGTGTTGCTGTCTTCCCCAAATACTTTCTCTAATGAGGTTTTTAAATAGTTTTGCCCCGCCTACACGGGCACCCAGAGCACTTTCATCTCCAGGTGAATGGGAACCGAGGTGGGACTCTGCTGTCTGCTGGGGAGGATCATTTCCATATTGCAGCCGAGGCGGCGAGGCTGGCAGGCAGAACCCGCGCGGTGGCAGGGCAGCGCTCGCCCTCGGAGATGCCTGCTGATCGTGGCGCGAATATGAACCGCTCGCCTCGCCGTTTGAAATGCAAAGAGCCCCCCCGGCGGCGTGGGCTCGCAGGCGAGGCGGCGCGTTTCGGTTACCCCTTCGCGCCGGGGAGAGCCGCGCGCCAGCCGGCAGGTAGCCGCGGTGCAGGCGAGGTTTGTTACCAGGACTGGGGTCGGTGCCACCTGTACCTGCGGCGCCCCGAGCAACCGCACACCTTTCACTCTGAGGTGGCAAAGATCACGTCAATCCCAGAGGTTTTTCGGGGTGGGCGTCGGAAGCACTTTCCGCAGAAAGGCATCTCGCCCCCACTCCTCCTCCCCGGCGCTGGCTGCCGGCGGAGCGGCGCTGACGTGCAGCCTCGGAGGCGAGCGCTCGCCCACCCTCGCGCGCGCCGGCTGAAGAGGAGTCCGAGACTCGTCTTGTGCCTCCACGGGTTCATCTCCCACGGGAATGCCGGAGTACGTACGGCGCCGGCCCCGCTGCGGGGCTGAGGATGGGACCCGAGGGGTCAGGCGGTGCTCTGAGCGTTCGTCTGTCTAAGGGGAAAAAAAAAAGAATAATTGCCTCGCAAAACCTCCGCGTGGGATAGAGCCCAATAATCAGGGGAAATAGAAATGGCCACACAAGCCCAACGCAACCGTCCCTTCTGCTTTCATAAACTGCACGTCCGTATAATGAAAATAAAGTCGCGGAGCTGCGAACATCTGCAGCTGCTGCCCAGATGTGGTTGCCCGGAGCCTCTGCAAAGGTTTCAGGGGAAAACCCCCATCTGCCTCGCACGTATCGCCAAGGCAGAGGACAGAGGTTTCGTTTTATAAACCTTGACCAGGGAGACATTAAGCGCCTTTGATCTCCAGATATAAAAATGATCTTTTGATTTAAGATTATGAAAATGAATAACCATCTGCTAAGAAACAGCTACGGACCCACGTTTTATTGAGGCCATATGGTGTCCAGGGCTTCTACGTATGAATTCAATTAGCTGCTTGTGTCTGCGTCAGTAATTCTGTATCCACCCAGTCATGTTTTTGGAACAAATATTATAATATTCCCATGGATCCTCCAGACAGTGGGAGGTGTTTCCTTCACTGTGAAGGTTTTGGGAAGTGATGACTTTGTCTCATTTTCATCTCACCCTACTCTGCATTTCCAGTCCCTCGCTTCTCGAGGCTTGGAGCTTTCCCCGGGATCTCTGAGCCAGCTGCGGTGCTGAGTAAAGACATCCCGGACCCCAGTTTGCCCGTCGGGGCTCATGTTTTGGCTTTCCCTATCCCCCTCACGAGGAACCTCTCCCGTCCACCCCTCCTACACTGGGACCGAGTCTGCGGTGGTTTTGAGAGCGTAACCCAGTTCTAACCTAAGGCAGATCTACTCCGGTCTCCTTTCCACAGTGCTTACCAGGGGTTTACTCGGGGCTCAGCTCTGCTGAGAGCAAGGTATCTGTTGCCACCACCTTGCACTCTGGGTGGGTGGCGTGGTGTAAAGATACCGACCTTTAAATGGGTGCAGAGGGGTGGGAATGACCAGTTGCCTGACTGGCCACCAGCCCCAGCAGACGGGTGGCCCTCCTGCCTGGGAAGCCAGGCCATGCAAAACCCAAATAACTCCTGTGATCTTTCAAATCTAATAATCTGGAAGACCTCCCTTTTTTTTTTTTTTTTTTTTAAAGGTGTGGCTCGGCACCACACGTTACACTCAGCAAGCTGCATATTTGCACTGATTCGCCTCTTCGCGCTGTTGGAAGTGGAAAAAATCCCGTTCCGGGAGCGGGCTGGGCAGAAGCCCCGACAGCAGCAGGTTGTAATTAGGAGCTGGAAGGGCCTCGCACCCAGACCCCACCTTCCTCTGCGTCTTGGTAACTCCTCCGTGCAAGAGGCAGCCTTGCAAAATGCTCCTGAGCAGAAAGTATCCCTAGCAAAGGGAGGGTATTTGTGGCTTTCTCCTGACTCTTTTGGGGAGGGATGGAGTTGTCAAGCTAAATTGCTATTTATAGACATATTTCTCAAAAGGTTTTCCCTTTTCCCGCCTCTTTCTGTGCTCATACTAGTGCAGAAGAGACGTTGCAGGGTTTAGCTTAGGCTAAGAGAAACCAGCTTTTGCAGAGCCCTGCGTTATGCCAAAACCACCCAGAACAGACATGACCACACCAACTCCCCGGGCCGGGGCCGCGTCCTCCCCCGAGGACACAGACACCCCCCCACCTGCACCCGTGTCCGGCCGTGAGCTGCCCCCCCTCCCGGGGGCACAGCCAGCAGCTCCTGCTCTGGAGGAAACCCACCTTTTCCCAGCGCTGACACCGGGCTCCTCCGCCACCACAACCACCGCAGGCTCGGCCTCACCGCCGGGCTCCTGCACCCGCCGCTCCTCGGCAGCTCCGGCGCCGCGCTGGGTGTCCAAGGCTGCTGTCACAGAGGCTGGAGAGAGGGTCTGCCACCCCGTCCCATCCCTGTGCTTTATTTATTTTGTTGTTTTGTTGTTTTGTTTTGTTTTGTTTTTTCCCTCCCCCTTCCGAGCATTTTTTTAAATCTTAACGTCGTACATTTTCTACCTACTACAGCTGGTGGAAGGGGCCGGCCAGCTGAAACACCCTGACACCCTTTACATCTGTAAAACACGGTTTTACCACCTATCTGACCACCGGGCCAGGAGCCCCTCGGACCGTCCTCCTTCCTATGCTACACTGAGAAAACCTGAACCAGGATGACGATGCATTAAAATCCGTGGCCCGCATTGCCCTGCTGTCCAGAACGGCTCCGTCACGCAGCGACTCCCCTGAGCTGCCCGTGGCGACGTCTCTTGTTTCAGGGGTTTCGCACCAGTGATCGATGTTTGACTCCGTTTCGAGAACGGCTTTACATTACCGGGACGTGGTCACATTCCTTCGGTCTGACGTCGGCGCTGGGAATTGCTGATTTCGTATTCCTGTCAGCGCTGGGTCTCACGCAGGTCCTCGCCGCCGCTGCTGGAAGGGCCATCTCCTCCCCGCCCTGCCTGGGGACCAGTCGTGGAATCGATGGGCTGTGGCTGCCGTACTGGGAAAACCCGAGGGGCACCTTTCCTGGCTGGCTCTCCTTCTCATTCTGCATGGCTATGATTAGAGACTTATTAACAAATTAGAGGATCGTAAGCATAATAACGCACAGCAAAACTACTAATTTCCAAAGATTACTCTTTTTTTTTTTTTTTTTTTTTTTTTTTTTAAATAAAATATCAGCCCTTTGCCAGATGGTTTTTCCAAAGAAGAGCTCCGAAGCAGCAGCATGAGGAAAGAGCAGCAGAGTGGAGGGATGAGAAAATGGAGCAGGTTCTCATTAGGGTGCAACGCATGTAATAATTACTTGAGGAAGCACGGGGATGGCAGGGCTCATTTCATTCTGGATCCCACAGCGTCTGCAAGCTTGCTTGTGTGTGCAGCTGCTACAGGCCTGGAATATAATTTTGCAGCTCTGTCTAACCCAAACATCCCTTGCCCCTTCCTTCCCAGGAACTCTCGGAAATCTGTATCTGATCCAACACACCGCTTGGGCTTTTTTCTTCCCCTTGGTGCTGAACGGCTTGATCAAGCAGTTACTGCTCGAAAACGGGATTTTAGGCAGCTAGTTTGAATCTGACGCCCGTCAACGTGCATTAGTCAACTTTACACCACAGTCATCACTCTGGCTTCTCAGCCTTCCCTTGACAAAACTCCCATCAGCATCCCCACGGTGCTGCTATCAGGCGTCCTGCTTTTCCATCCTCACGGTCTGTCTTACTCAAGGGACCCAGCAAAGACCCTCTGATCTGCTGGCAGGTCCTTTGGGACCCCCTTACCGCAGCCCGCGCCAGCTCCAAAAACTTGGGCTCCCAAAACTCAGTGCAGAGCCTCCCACAAACGCTCAGTCCACCTACCCCTACCCATTGCCATCACACGTTACTAACGCCGCCCATTTCCAACTGTTTTGAGGAAGGTTAAGAGGTGGCTGGTTGAAGCCAACATTGTGACTAACTCTTTGGGGGAAGTACTTTATGTCAAAACAAGCGAATAGTGAAGCGGGGACATGTGGCACAGGGATGTGTAGAGGTAGGGAGGGGCTTTTTTGTGCCAAATTTCCCTTTTCCCTGACGGGAGAACCCAAGTTGCCTTATTTCTTAATGTAGAATGAGACAGAGAAGGAAAACTTCCTTCTTTACTTCTTTTAGATCTTGGCATTTCTAGAAAGCGGCTGAATCACACCCGTATGATACGCTGTCATGGAAATGGGCCCCCTTGGCTTTTACTGGTGGCCGCCGCGAGCCAGCCCACCAGTTGGGGTCCGTCGCTGTCGAAGCCAGAAAAGCCCCTTACGTCCATCCCTCCGGGGCCCCCGCGGAGCCCAGGCTGCAATCTCTTTTTCTCCTTGCTCCTGCCCGCAGCAAGAGGCTGCAGGTTTCAGGCTTTCCAAGTCTTCCCCCAGCCGGAGCAAGCTGGGCAAGCGGGCACACGTAGAAATCTGGGGGGAAAGGGGGTGAAGGCCAGGCCCAGGGGCGACCAGTGCGCCCAGCAGACGGCTGCGACACATTCCTTACCAGCTACAAAGAAGGAGTCGGAGGCAGGTATGTTATACGGAAACATTTGGGTTCTGTGACTTCCTAAGTGGGATAAACCCAATTATTTTCAGTCATTTAGAGCAGGCAAAGGACTCAGCCCTCACAACTACTTTGCTTCCCGAAGTTATTCAAGCCCTATGGAGCCACATATATTTGCTTGTTAACTATGTGACTGTAACAGCAAAGCCTCCTTCCTCTCTCTCGAGCTAAAATGTGGTATGTAAAATGGCAGTGCCTTTTATAGCCCTGTGCCCACAAAGACTCAGCTGCAGAAGTCATTTCCTATTTACATCCAAAAAAAAAAAAAAAAAAAAAAAAAAAAGCACAGTTCAGCAAAGATCGCTGCGACTCCAGCCAGCAAGGAGCTTTCTGCAGGTGTGGAGGGGTGATCCACCCTCCCGGCGGCAGCCCGGGGCCCGGCTCCAGCCAGCACCCTCTGCCCACAGGTTATCTTCAGCCCCCGGCTCCCGGTGCTTCCCTGGGCCCGGGCAATTCCAAGCACACCCAAATAAAGTCCCAAATCAGTCCTGTCTGGCCTCGCCCTCTTTCTCAGCAGAGGGTTTGGATCGCTTCCACGTCTCTTTTTTTCCCAGAGGAAGTCCTCCTTAAAAGCAACTCCCTTTGAAAACCTGAGCCGGGAGGTCAGCCCTCGCCTGCCTGCCCCGCTCTCCTAATCTCTTCTGATTAGAGTAACAACCCTCCAAATCTCTCCTATGCCCCAGAGGGACTTTCCTCTTCCCCCCCAAGTGGCATCCCCTTCCAGGGACCAGCCCTGTTACCAGCTCCTGCCCTCATTAACCCCTTCCCAGCCCCTTTGCTAGTCGGGAGCACCAGGCGAGCTCTGCAGCGCTCGGGGAGGGGAAGCCCCTCCGGGGGCATCTGGGCCTGTTCCCACCGATAAACGCACCGAGGCAGCAGGGAATCAGGGACTGCAGACGGAAATAAAACATCCCATGGCATAAGCAGCTGGCTGACGCCCGTCAATTTTGGCTACTCTTTAAAAACCCATCGGAAATGCTAAAATACACTGATTTTTGCTAGCCATCCTTTGGGAACGCTGGTATTGTTCCCAGCCAGCAGTGAGGAGCTGTCAGGATGCCCAGAGCATGACACGACCGGCTCAACGCCTCTGGCAACCCCAGTTTCACTGGAAAACACGGTGCTGGGCTGGCCAGTCTGATGCTGTGGCTTTGCCACCGTCCAGACTTCAGCCCTCTCGGTGCTAACGCACAGCAAAAGGCACTTCCTGAAAACAGATTTTTCAAAAATGGATTTTATCACTGTCAGCTAACCAAAACGAGGACTCGTTTCAGATAATCTTCACAGATAGGTAGGGGGGAAATACAAACCAGGCGACCTCAGGAACAACCCACCTTAGCAGAGATTGCTCCATTAATCATTTTGGCTGCAACTCAGCGTCACCAAAATTAGCGAGGTTTGAGGTTAGCTTTTCAATATGAGAAGCCATGTCACGTTGTGACTAGATACTGTGCTGAAATTCAGCTGCCGGAATTATGGAGGTGGAAGACCTTTATTTAGCCCGATCTTCCATCGTGCAACCTCCTCCAGATTTCCAGCAAAACCCCTCTCGGAGCGTGTCAGAGTGCTGAGTAACAGGACCAGTTCAACTGACTGCCATGACCTCCTCCGAGCTGCTTATCCTTGTGTATTTTGGATACCAAACTATTTTCATCAGAAAGTAACTTCCTCAGAAAGTTAGTGGGAGATCTTTCGTTTTGGTTTTCTTATGGGTTTTTTAAACACAAATAAATTCTGTTTCTGTTTGCAAAGAAAACTCTGAAACCTCCTTTAACCATAAAACAATTTTGAAGCACATTTCTGCGTTTGCTTCAGTGGTGCTTTCGCCTCTCCTCCAGCCAGCCACGGCTCTCATTTTATTCATCACTCAGCAACGTTTATGAGTATGAGTTTGTGCAGTGCCGGGGTCACCACACCCACTACCCACATCCACACAGCCAACTTGCCAGAAAAAAAAAGAAATTTTTTTCTTTAAAAAAACCCAAACCTACTCTTCTGGCATCTCATTCCCACTACTCAAACATTACCGATTTGGGGTGGAAATTCCCTGGCAGGAGCTTCTGTTTCCATTCTACACGTTCCTGGGAAAAGTGGTGAAGAAAGTTTCAGGAGACGAGCTGTGGTGTGCTACAGCTGCAGCCTCACCCAGGACTCGCTCAAACTCTTTAAAGAGCACGTATTAAAGTTGGGGCAACAACGGGGACCGCTTCGAGACGTGTGATGTTGCTCACCCGAAGCCAGCTGCGCTCTCCTCAGGGCCTGGACGCTGACGCTCGCGGGCTCCGAGGCAGGAGAAGCCGCTTTTGTGGGGTTTTGTGAAGGGGTGGGTGCGCGGGCAGGCCCTCCGGACAGACAGACAGACGGTGATCCACACCAGGCCGGTGCTCAGCTCGCACGGTGGAAGGGACAGCCTTCATCCCCGGTCAGGAGGGCGTGCAGGCACACGGCATCGCCGTGTCAAGAATCAACTCCTGCCTCCAGCGCAGGCTCCCGCCTAAGGACAAGACGCAGGCGGCCAGAGGAAGACCTGACGCCCTCCCCACTCCACCCCAGGACAACCAGCCACTTGCGGTACTTTTCTCAGCTGGCTCGAGGGGCCCCTTTTGCTCACACACAACTTTCCCTGTGCACTGTGTCCTCCGGCCGGCGCTGCCACGCGGCTGCAGTGATGCCACCAGCGCTGGCGCGAGCACGGCCGCATCACCGGCGGGACGCTCGCGACCCACCACCCCTCGCCAACACCACCGTCCTATCTCGGTTTTGGTTTTTGTTTTTCTTTTTTTTTTTTTTTTTTTTCCAATTGCAAGACATGGAAAACCCCCAGAGCCTGATACCAGCCACGTACCGAGGGCAGCTGGGGAGGGGAACAGTGACTCAGAGGAGGGGACACTTCCAGGTCGGCCCGGCCGCGGGGGAACCACCAGCACCCGTGTCCCACGGGGGGAAGTGAGATGGGGAAGCGGCGCAGGCTGGCACAGGGGGAGGTCAGCAACGGGTCCGCCGGGCACGCAGAGGCCCTTGTGAGCTTGCTTTCGGATGAAATTCAGAAAGAAACGCTCATCCTTGCGTCTCTCACGAGGCGCGTGACGTGGGTAGATCTATATGTGCATCTGTTTAGGTACCCCAGCATGCAGAATGTAAGGTTTTTCTTTACTTTTATTGACAGTGCTATCACTTAATTGTAATTTTTATCTCTATGGATGGTTTCTGTATCAAATTCTGCCAGTAAAGCACTCTGGGACTTTTTAGTATGAAAAACACCGTGTAAGTTTAAAACTCTATCTCTCAGTGCCATTAAAAGTACCTAGAAATAACATAATCCCTTAAATTCTGGAAACTCAGCATGATGCAGGATTTAATCTCTACCTGTCACTGGCCAAGTACATTCTTGTACGCCACCAAGATGTCTTAGCAGCTGCCCTAAAGTGAATATAATGCCACAATTTCTGCTGTTAGATGGACGATTGATTGATTTTCACTGCTTGGGAAAAGAGAAGGGAAGAAGTGAAACAGTGAAATGAATAGAAGTGAAACTACTAGTTACGCTGAAAACACAGCTTCGTTAGGAGAACTGCACTACCCACCATTTATCACAAAATCTGATTTCTGCAGCCTGGATGGCAATGCCTTGTCACTTAAATGCCAGATTATGGCCCATGACACCCAGAAAACCACAGCAGTACAAATCCGGTGCTGTTCCCTGCCTCCCTTCCCCAAGGCAAAGAATTAGGAACGGTGAAAACAAAATCATGGGGCTGAAATAATAAGAATAAAAAAAAAAAAAAAAAAAAAAAAAAAAAAAAAAAATCAGAAGCTGGTTTGGAGCCAGGCAGTGCGGGGAGGGTGCCTGCAGCCCCAGCACCGCCTGTGGCACGGCGCAGCCCTGTGCGGGGCAGGGACCACCGCGCAGGCTCTCGCCACCTTGGAAAGCCACACGGGACCTTTTCAGCTGGGATTTCTCCCGCCTGTCTGTCTTCTTCCAGCTCCTCAAGTCTGCGCCTGGAAAGGGCACGGAGGAGCCGGTTTGGTTTACTGAATTCTATCCTTTCTTTTTTTACCTCCCTATAAGGAAACCTCCTCTTTCTTCCCCATGAAATTTTCAAAACCCGTACATTTTGGGGATGAAAGCTCCTCTACGTTTCTTCAGCTAAAGAGGGACTTTGACTTCCCACCTGCCACTCTGGGTCTGATGCAAGCAGGATAGCGAGCAAGCTGACTCCCATTTCC